TCAGGAAGAGTATCTCCAGCTCCTCCCCACCCTGCCCAGAGAACCCCCAGGGGTGCCCCTCTTAACTACGAGCACCCCTAAGGCCTGATGCAATGCTGTGGTTCAGAGAGCAGACCTGCCCTGGTGGGTGAGGTGGGGTGTGGTAGGGAATTTGGACTCAGGTAAATTGCTCTTCCCACAGGCCAGGCGGGGAGCCAGAGGCCAGGCCAGGGATGGGGCTCCTGGTGAAAAGAATGGGTCTTGCCTGATCTGCAAGAGCAAGGGTCAGCCCTCCACTGGCTCCCCAGGCTGCCCCAGGTGGGTAGACCGGAAGATAAGGCCAGGAGAAGGGCTGGGGAGGGAGGAGGCCTGAGCCTGCTCTACGGGCCCTGGGATGAGCCCTGAGAGCCTGCCCCCAACCCAGGCCCTGCAGGCAGAAGCCCACTTTGCCGCTCCTGCAACACGAACCATTCTCACTCTGCATTCATCGTCTCTTCTTCCCAGCTACAAGCTAAGCTCAAAGTTCTGGCTTTGAGTTTGACGGCAGCACCAGCTGTGTGACCCTGGGCCAGTCGCAGCCTCTCTCTGAGCCCTCCCTACTGCAGTGGGCTTCTCTGACATCCAGAGAGAAGGTGTCTTCGAGAGGCTGGGACAGAACCACTCACTGGCCCTCAGATGCTGAGAATCAGCCTGGGACTGCGGAGGGCGAGCTTGCCATCCATGGAAGCATCTCAGAGGGGCTGAGTTCACAAGCTCAGTTCACAAGCTGACCTCTGTGGTCCTGTCTTTGATCCTTCCGTGTATTTTCTCACTGAATCTCGGCCACAGGCTTCTGAGGAAATGCCAGGCACAGAGAAAGCCATTCATTCTTTCATCCAGTCACGTGTTCAGCCAACAGTTACAAGTCTGACACTCGCAGCGCTGGGAGTTCAGCAAGAATCGGGTCATCTGCTCCATACACGGGGGTCTGAAGCCCAGCCGGTCACTCCACGTTGGGCACCAGCAGTAAACAAGGGCCACACAGCTCTTGGCCCCACGGAGCACATAGTCTAGAAGTGGGAGACAGAGATGCCATGAAGGAGAGAGACCATTCAGAGATAGGGGTGATCTCGCGGGGTGCGGAAATGACATGCACGTTCTGTCGGGAAAGGTGGGCCAGGTAAGGCGCCTGTGAGAGCTGAAGGACAGAGGTGCGGCAGGGCAACGATCTGTGGGAGAGCGAATGAGGTGGCCTCAAGCTGGAGCCAACTTTGTGAAACTGACCGGACGAACGCTTTTTATGGGTCAGCTGTTATTATTTTTATTATCGGGGATACCGTCTCCCCCATTTCCCGGCTCTTTACTCCTGAGTTCCCTCTTTGTACACACAGAGGTTGCGGGGAGGGGGGTGCGGTGAGGCGCGGCTGGCCGAGCCCTGTAGAAGCCAGCCGAACGAGGGCGCCCCAAACAAGTCCTGCGCTTCCCCACTCTGGCCCCGCTGAGGGGGAGGGGCGGCCAGGCCCGGCCACACTCCGGGAACTACATTTCCCATAATTCCGTTCCCGACGCCATCTTGGCCGGTGGGCGGTGGCAGCTTAGGGTCTAGCCTTTCAGGCCGTTCAGCCGGTTCCGCTCGCCCCTAACCTGGGCCTCCACCACGGGGGCTGCGTGTCCTCGCCCAGTAGGGCCTCTGGGGACCTGCGCAGCCCCTGTCCGCTTTCTCCGCCCCTCCACCCTTAGGAACCTGGTCCACGTGTCGGTCTACGGCGGAGGAGGCTACTCGCCCTCCTCTGGCCAAGGACCGGAGGACCCAGACCTTGGGGGCTCCCACGTCTCCTCTCCAGACCCCCGCCCTGCACATACTGCCCACACCCCTCCATTCCCAGATGACCCCTGTTTTTGCGTCAGTGAGGACAGAACACTAGGATCCCGGCAGGAGCCCAAATCCCGGTACCGGGCGCCTAAAACGCCAGGATTGAGGCGGGAAGGTTAAAAAAGATTATCAAACAGCCAGGCCCAAACCCCTGAAGGCTAGACCCTCCCCTATACCCTGCCTGGGGGCGGGTGGGAGTGAGGGACCTGCAGAGGGACTGGCCCTTTAAGGGGGTGTGGTCGGGGGGCGGGGCAAGCGAGCGAGACAGAGAAAGCGGCTTCGGCGGCTTCGGCGGCGGCGGCGGCTCGGGCGGCGGCCGCGGGGGACAAAGGGCGGGCGGATCGGCAGGGAGGGGGCGGGGCGCGGCCAGGCCAGGCCCGGGGGCTCCGCATGCTGCAGCTGCCCCCGGGCGCCCCTGCCGCCGCCCTCGCCGCCGAGCCGCGCGGAGCGGAGCCCGCAAGCTAACCCGAGCCAGCGGCCCGGAGCCAGCCGGCGGGCGTCCCGGAGGCGGCGGCGCAGGGAGGGGCCCGACGCGCGCACGTGGCCCCGGCGGCCGCCATGGCGGACAGCGGCCCCGCAGGGGGCGCGGCGTTGGCGGCCCCGGCCCCCGGACCAGGCAGTGGTGGCCCAGGGCCCCGCGTCTACTTCCAGAGCCCCCCTGGGGCTGCAGGCGAGGGCCCGGGCGGCGCGGACGACGAGGGCCCAGTGAGGCGCCAAGGGAAGGTCACGGTCAAGTACGACCGCAAGGAGCTACGGAAGCGCCTCAACCTGGAGGAGTGGATCCTGGAGCAGCTCACTCGCCTCTACGACTGCCAGGTGTGTACCCTACTCTGCGTTGACACCCTAAGATCATTCCCTAGTCGGGCTGCTTGGGAACCCCACCTTGCGCCTGCCTGTCACCCGGAGTCAATGGGCGCTCTGCTTCCGCGCGCTCCCCTCCCTTTCTATACTCCCCGCCCCCAGTGTGTGCTCTTTCTTGTCTGACCTTAAGTCACTCCAGTCTTCTTCCTCGTGACTCTCTCATGTCCCTACTGTGGTCAAGCTTAGGGGTCTTCTAGAAGCCTCAAGGGATAGCCTGGGGCATGGGCAGGAGGCTAGCCTGGGCGGGCAGTGCAAGGAGACCTACCTGGTGCTTGCTAACCGTATCTGGTTAAAAGGCACGAGCCTGGTGGGATTGTACAGGGTCTGGGCTGTTCTAATGGGCCAGCCTGCCACTCCATTTTGGTGTAGGAGCAAGTAGCCTTCCTCTGGGTTCTGGTTCTCCACCCCATGACTCCTTCCTTGCTCAAACGGTGACTCAGGCCCCTGGGGGGCAGGGTGGAGGAGTGGTCTTGCCCTGTGCTGCTGCCTACCCTAGACCAGCCCTGGAACGCAGCTGGCTCAAGACTGGATAGATGCTTCCTGGGGGGGGAGGGCTGGCGGGCACCCCCTCCCTCAGCAAAGCATAGGCTCTTTGTTTCCCCCTTACCAGCCCTGGGTCCTTCCCACTGACCCCTCACCCTTTACTTCCTCCCCACTCCTGGGAAGCTGTGACAGGTGTTTGGGGGAAGGGTAGGGGCTGTGAGGAGTTGAGACAGCTGTCCCCACCTGTGCGCTGACTTAGGTGGGGGGGCGGGAAGTTGGGGCAACACATCTGCAGGGTTCTCAGCCCAGGGTCCGCCAGCCCTAGCTGTCTGGCCCTGTCTGGCACCCACGGTGCCCAACTGGCAGGGACAGGAAGCCCCCCCACCATTGGGCATTTTGCCTTGGCACAGGCCTGATCTGTTTTCTTCCTCGGACAGCTGCCGCTGTCTACTGGGCGAAGAAGGCTGGCTCATCCCGCGGTCGGGCCCCAGCCAGAGCTCACACCCTCTCTCCCAACTCAGGCCCTTGTCTCTCCCTCCTCCCCCACCCCCACCCCAGGAGGAGGAGATCCCAGAGTTGGAGATTGATGTGGACGAACTCCTGGACATGGAGAGTGATGATACCCGGGCTGCCAGGGTCAAGGTGAGAGGGGCTAGGAGAGACAGCAGGACTGTAGGTAGGGGAGATCAGGGAGGAAAGGGCTGCCTGGAGGCGCTGCCCCTTGGGTAAGCAAGGCTCTAGATTTAGGCCTTCTTTGGTTGTAGTCAGTCAGCTCTGTGATGGTGAGCCTTGGCTTCTGCTTCCATCAAATGGGGCGAATGGTGCTTGCCCAGCTGTTGAGTGGCTGTGACATCATCTGTGTCTTGGGAGTGGCCCCAGTCCCTTGGAAGTGGGTACAGGTGAACTTTAGGTCCCTGTGACTTAGAACTCACAGCTGTACTTACCTCCCACCATGCTCTCCTAGGAGCTGCTGGTTGACTGTTACAAACCCACTGAGGTAAGTAAGTGGTTTCCCCGGAGGCTGGGGTGAGAGGGGCCTGGGTTTCTGTCATCATGCAGTCTGGTCTCTCTAATGCCCTCCCTTCTGTTCAGGCCTTCATCTCTGGCCTGCTGGACAAGATCCGGGGCATGCAGAAGCTGAGCACACCCCAGAAGAAATAAGGGTCCTTGACCCCGGTGAATGGTGGCTCCCACAGGACAATCGCTGCCCCCCGACCTCGTAGCAACAGCAATACCCGGGGGGGGCCCTGCGGCCAGGCCTGGTGCCATGAGCAGGGCTCCTCGTGCCCCTGGCCCAGGGGCCTCTTCCCTGCCCCCTCAGTTTTCCATTTTTGGGGTTTTTTATTGTTATTAAACTGATGGGACTTTTTGTGTTTTTATATTGACTCTGCGGCGCGGCCCTTTAATAAAGCTAGGATATGCCTTTGGTGCAGCTCACAGGCTCAGCTGGTCTCTTTTAGGGGGGACACACTGCTCCACGACTGGACTGCTGCCAGCTCAGTGTCTTCCCAGGTGACCGCAGGCCTTCCTGAGGGCCATGTAGCCATGGCGATAGCCCAGTGCTGGCTCCCAGACCAAGAGCTGGAAGTGGCTGGGGAACTGGGGGAAGTGGTGTTGCTGTTGGCAGGCAAGAACACCCCTTTTCCTCTGGGCCGGGGGCCGCCCACCATGCCACCTAGGGCCTGGCCACTGTGATCCCCATGCCAGTGAGCCTACACCCAAGGCAAGAAGATGGGTCGGTGGTGCCAAGGGGGAAGGGGTACTGGCTGAAGCTGTGGGTTTTCAGTCTCTCGGGGCCCACAAATACACACAGGCTCACTTCACAGACTTTAAGGGTTTTGTTTTTTGTATTTTTTTTTTAAACAGTCTGGTCCCTGATGGGGGCCTCTCCACTGCCCCTCCCCAGTTTTGCTACAGTTCTGAGCGTCGCTCGATTTTGAGTAGCTCCACCTCGAACACGAGGGTTGCACCGCCTGCAGGGGAGAAGAGGGGACAGAATGAGAATCAGGACCACAGGGAAACAAGATGGGTGTAGGTCCCTGGGGGGCAGGGAGGTGTATTACCTGGAATCTTTGGGGGAGCTCCCCGCTCTCCGTACCCTGTCAAAGATGCACAAAGAAACAGTGAAGTGTAGCCAGGCCAAGGGAGAGGTGTGCTGCAGACACCCAGCCTGAAGCCAGGCCTCTGCCCATCTCAACAAGAAAGCCAGAAATGGAGAAGGTGTAATGGAGACGGCAAGGGGCTACAAAAGGTCGGGTAGGGGGCAGAGAGCAGGATCCAGAATCAAGTGTCCCAGGGGTCTTGCCCTGTTCTCACTACTGGGCATGGTTAGACTTGGAAGAGGCATGTGCCATAATGAATGGATGGGGTGGAGATCAATGCAGAGGCTGAACCAGACTTCACCCTTCCCCAGACACACACCCTAAACTCCCCTATTCAGGCTCAGGGGAAGGGCCTCTTACCCAACTCTGATGGGATCACCAGCTTCCGTTTTTCTCCCTCACACATCCTGCAGGACAACACACGTTCAGCACAGGGCAAGCACCCAGGTTCCCTGCCCCCCACCCCATCCCCGGGGCTTGCCTCCCACAGTCAACCTCATCGACCACACCCTCGGCCCCCTGACTCACCCCAGCAGCCCCTGGTCCCAGCCCTTGATGACCTGGCCTGTGCCCAGGGAGAAGACAAAGGGCTGGTTCTGGGGCAGGCTGCTGTCAAATTCCGTCCCATCTTCCAGCTTCCCCTGTGGGACCATGGGAAGGCCAGTGAAGAGGAGGGTCCACTCTGAGATACCTCCCCATCCAGTGCTCTCCCCAAGCTGGCTCCCCATTTCCCCATTGGAAGCCATAGCCCTAGAAGGGGACAGAGCCTTGGGTGGGCAGCTCATAGGACACTGTCACTGCTTGCTGGTGCCAACCTGGGGATCAGGCAGTGAACAGCAGAGGAGAACTATGGAAACTATGTAAAAGGGAGAGGGGACTTGCCCAAGGTCACCCACCTTGTAGGCTGAGGGATCTGGCTTCCAAGTCTTCTCAGGTCCCCAGAAGCCCCACCCACGCCAAATGACCCACTCCCTCACCCACCGTGTAGTGCATGTGCAGGACGTCCCCCTTGCGCGATTTGATGGGACAGTGGTCCACCCGCTTCTTGACCCCGATCTGCAGCTTCCGTTTGCCCTCCGCCCCCGCAGCAGTGGCCAGGGCGCTCAGGCAGATGGACAGTACTGTCAGGACCCAGCTCAGCCTCATGTCTCTGCGGGGACAGACCCCGACCGACCGACCAACCGACCGGGGGGTAGGGCGGGGAAGGCATGGAATAGGGGCAGGTACCAGAAGAATTCCACCCCCACCGTACCTTGCCTGCCCCTGGGGATCCCCTTGTCCCGGGTCACCACCCCCTCCCCCGGACTTCGCAGCCACACTTACCAGTCCAGTGAGAAGGGGGCTTGCCCGAGGACCCCAGCAGCGGGGGGAGGGGGTCAGGGGAGGCCACAGCAGCCAGGGCCCCGCCCCTTTGCTCACCCCCAGCCCTTCCTTCCCTCCCGGTCCCCAGCTCCACTCTTCAATTCCCACCCGTCCCTTTACGCAAAGTCCAGACCCTATCTGGCTGTCCAGCAGTTGCCTCGACAGGGCGATCCCATTCACGCCACACCCAGTTGCCCCCCGCCCAGCACACCCACACTTCTGCGGCCGCTGCAGGGGGCCTGCCCCGAGGGACCCACACATCGCCGCTGGATGGCTCCGGGGAGCCCCGATCCTCCGGAGGAACCCCCCAGGCCGGGCCTGTCCCTCCGCCAGGGGCGCCGCCCCAGCTCTGAGCCCTCGGGGGCCTGCGGGGTACCCAGACTGGTCCCGTGTCGGGTGGCCGCCGAGCCCGCTCCACCCACACCACCTCTCCTGGGGGAGTTCTCGGCCTACCGCGTCCCCAGGCCCGGCCCCCACGGAGGCCGCCCCCGCGTGGACGCCCCGGGCCATTACCTGGGCCTACCCCTTCGCTTGACTCCTTGACCCCACCCTTTAGAGGACGTAGTTCCGCCCCCTGCCCTGGAGCCCCGCCCTCGACAGAACCAGACCCCTTTTCCTGAACGGTAGCCACGCCACTCACCGGCTGAAGGCCCGCCCCCAGCGCCTGAGCTACGTCCCTTTCGGTCTCTACACCCGAGGCTCCGCCTTCCGCCTGTTCCAGCTCCTCCTCCAAAGACCAGGCTCCGCCCCCCACCGCTCCTAGCTCCGCCCCCAGCCCCGGAGTTCCGCCTTCTACTGGAACCAGCTCAGAGGTTCCACCCGTCTCTGTTCCGCGTCCCGCCCCGACTCCCGGGGCTCCGCCCCGTGCGGCGTGAGAACCCTCCCCCTGCGGCATCCCCAGACAGCTCCGACCCCAACTCCCAATTTCCTCCTAACCTATCCCTCGTTGACGCTCGGAGCCCCGGCCCGCTCCTGCCCGGCCTGATCCAGCCTGCCCCCTTGCACCCCGGCTCCCCCCAGCCCGGGCTGTGGCCCCCGCTCACCTCCTCGCCGCGCCCCCGGAGTCAACCCCAGTCGTGCTGCTGCCTCTGCGCAGGCGCGTCATCGTTGCTACCCGGCCCGGCCACGCCGCCCGCCCTCATTGGACTGTGCGAAACCCGCTGCCACACGCCCGGTGGGGCGGCCTTTCCCCAAGCCCCGCCCTCGCGCCACCACGTGACGACGCGCTGCTTCCGGTGGCTGGGTAGTCAGTAAGGTTAGGTGAAAGTTACTTCCTAAAGTGCCTTCGGCACTTCCGGTCGAGGTGAAATTGAGGTCAGGCGGTCGGGGCTTCCCGGAGGGGGTCTTGAGACGCCATTTTATTTCATCCCCAGGTTCTCCCAGGTGTTCCGGTTTGTCCCTGGGCCTCTTCGTGATCCCCAATCTCCAGTTCGTTGCAGTGGAAAGAGCCTGGGGTTCAGACTTGGGTTTGAATTTGGGATCTGCCGTTCATTGACTGGCAATGTGACCTTGAGCGAGTTCCTGGGCCTGGTAGGATCTGGAGTCTCTGTACCGCGGGCTTGGCAGCATCCACCTGACAGGGCCACCGTGGGATTGCGGCCATGAGGGGATCCACCAGGCCCTGGCCCGGGGCTAATGCTCTCCCTTTGCTCCGCGCTGGCCTCCAGGCCTGCCTCTGCCTGCCACGCACTGACCGGAGTCACGACGGCAGTGGTCTGGTTGGGCCTGTTCCCCCAACCAGACTGGTATTTTCAGGTGCCCCAGCGCCCAGCAGTGCGTGGTCAACATCTCTCAGTTGAAGTAATGAACTTGTAGTTGGGAGGCAATGAAACCTAAACTGAGCGTTAGAGACTCTAGCTGGAGGTCACACCCGGGTCGATCAGCTTCTCTGATCCTGTTCGTCAATTTAAAAAGGAAGCTAATCATCGGCGCCAACCTTAGAATTGAGGACTGAGGGAGGGGGCACATATGAAGTACTGTGTGTGTCCAGCACTGAGTGGGCTGGGAGGGAGCCGCTCTTGGGTCCCCAGCCCTCATCTGTCTCACTTCCAATGAGCTATGGCATTTTCAGTGACAGCATAGCTGAGAAAAATGATTTGAAATTGGTAGTCACAGGAATTGTCTCTTCTGGTTGAACCCCACTCCTGCCTTGGGCCCAACAAGATCACTACCATGCCCTCCAATCTCACACCTCAGAGAATCTCTCCATTAGGGTAACCACTTAGGATTAACCTCTACCCCTGAATGTCCTCTCTCAGCAAGGCAAAGCACTGGGCCCCCAAGGTTGGCCTTTGGTTCCCCGCACCACCACCACCACCACCACCACCACTCCGAGCTCCACCCCAGGGACACTGGAGGCTGCAGGAAGAGGGCTGGGCACTGAGCTTAGGCTGGGTCAGACAAAAGTCAGGAGAGTCCCAAGCAGGGGCTGGTGAGGGGAGCCCAAGGGGAAGGGAGGTGAAGGTGGAGAAAACCATGTGGTTGGGGTGAGGAGACCTATCTCCCAAACCGAGCCCACCAGCCACAGCCCTTTGGTACTTCCCTTTCAGGGAGGTGGGGACAGGGCAGTGCGTGGCTTTAGAGTTAAGCTAGAGGAAGTAGGTTACATACAGAGTGCTGCCCAGCAGAGCGGATGGGTTTTTCTTTCAAGGGAAGACATACTCAGACTTTCCTGGAGCCCAAGAACGGGGGCCAGAGCGCTCATCCATTCCCTCCAAGTGCACATGTGGAAGCTTAGGCTCAGAGAGGGGACAGTGACAACCAAGATCATTCCACAGATCTGGGTCCCACATCAAGCTCACGGGCCACAGCAGGCCGTCTCCTTCCAGAAAGGAGCCTCTGTGTTAAGCAGGAGGGACAGGGCCCGGATGGGACAAGAGACTACAAAGAATACACATTTCCGGCTCTGTGACCTGGTGGGGGACCTCAGGCCTCGCTTCCTTCATCACATAAGGGTGTCAGACCAGCTCTGGCTCCAGGAGGCAGTGTGACGCAGAATGCCTGAATTCCCCCAGCCAGGACAGTGACAAACGGGACACAGGCAGGGATAGCTCCTTCCATCTCTTTTATCAGGCTTGGGGGTCACAGTTCTCACACCGAAGCCCAATTCCCAGTATGTGCAGAGGATCGGTGTCTTCTTAGGGAGGGGATGGAGCCAGCTGTGAGATGCTCACTCATACATGGTGGTCGCACACTGAGATGGGACCCCTTCTCTCTCGAGTTAGTCCGGGACCCCTGGTGCTGCGTGCCCCTCTTCTTGCCCAGCTGTCCACCCTGTTGCATGGCAGCCTTGGAGAGACCTGGGACAGCTGGGAAGTCCTCTGAGAGGCCCAGGGCCTGGAGCAGCTTCTGCCCACTTGGAGATCTTGCGACTGGGCTCTTCTCAACATACTGCCCTCTTGTCCCCCTCTGGGGGGGTGGGCGGCCGGTGAGGGCACGTGGCTGAGTCTGAAAAGCAACATGTCACCTTCGCAGCTTTCGGCACCTGCGGGGGGGGAGGGAGGGCTCTGTTCACGCTGGCATGGCTCGGCCATTCACCCCTTTGTTACCTTCTGTGGACCCCATTCCCTACCACTCCTGGGGAGCCCCAACTGGCCTGCCCACGTGATGCCACCCCATGGCCTCGCTGTGGAAGGGAGCAGTGGCTGAGAAGCACCTCACACAAGGGTGGACAAGGATTCCACCGTGTCCCTTGGCCTCTCACAGAGACCCAAAGGTGGGACAAAGGTCTCCCGCGGAGGCTTTTAGGAGGGCCCAGAGCTTCACCAAGAGGAGAGCCATCTCTCTTGTCTTGACTGCAGGCCGGGGTTACCTTCGGGGCCTCTCTGACCTCTGGGAGACCCTGACCTCAACCCTTGACCTCTGCTGGCCTCACATATCCTCAAGTCCGCCCCCCCATGAGAACGTGGACTCGGTTTACACTGATCGCGGTGCCCGCGGATGCTTGGCAAATGTTTGTTCGGCACATTCAGCAGTTTCCCGTGCCCTGGAGGGCTCACCCCGCACCCGCTCCCGGGGCCCCGTAGCCTTCCCAAACAGATGCCACCCACAGCTCCTCACCTGCAGGTGTCTGGGTTGAGCTCTAGGCCCCGCCCTTGGCAACGGAGGAAGCTGCGGCGTCGGCAGCGACAGCGGCAGGTCCTGGGGTCAGGGCGCTGGCGGCGCTGGGTGCAGCGTGGGCAGTGGGGCCTGGGGCTGGAGTGGGATGGGTGATGTCAGCTGGGGAGGGTGCTCCGGGGGCAGAGTCCCAGCCTGGAATGGAGCGGGGCTGGGGGCGGTGGTGGGGAGTGGAAGCCCTAGGAGGAGAAGCAATGCGTCTGGGGTGGGCAAGAAAAGTCTTCCCAGGAGCTGGCGCTGGGCCAGAGCGCACAGACTTGGGGAGCAGAGGAAAAGGGGGTGGGCGGGGGACACAGTGGGAGGAGAAAGAAGGGACAGGACTGCAGCTTCCTGACACACTCACACCCCCACCCATCCACACATTTCATCCTGGCTGCTGGGCCTGGGCTCCCCACCCAGTGAGAGCCCAAAAGACTCACCTGTCTGGCTTCAGAGCACTCTCTCTCTTTTTTGGTCTGAAAAGTAAGAAGGACAGACAGCGACGAGGAGGAGAAAGAGGATCAGAAAAGCCAAGCCTCCTACTCTTTTACCCCAGATCCCAGGCCTACCCCAGTCTGAGTCCTGGCAATCTGGTCCCCACTGTGGAGTACCACCCTGTGCGCCACCACACCCCCCCAACCCTGGGAACCTGGTCTCTGAGCTCAGAAGAGGGGCCTGGCTGGCACCTGCATTCACATTGGCTGTGTTCTTCCAGGGACATCTCGCCCAGCTGACTGCTCGGGTAACGGATCATGAGGATCTGTGTTCCAGAGATGGAGGAGAGACAGTGTGAGAGACAATGAGAGAGAGAGACAAGGGAAGGGACTGCTCCACGGGCTGGAGGGAGAAGAGCTCGCCCACCAGCCGCAGCTCTGGCCATTGCCCCCCCACCCCCTGTACCAACCCGGCTCCCCCCCCCACCGTCGCGCCACCACCCCCAGCACCAGACTCCACCCCTGCTGGGCATACTGCATTGGCCCCAGCACCTGCATTC